CGAATGCGTGAAAAAACTCTCTTAACTCCAGTACAATAACAAGAAGCTACGGTGTTTTCTCAATAAACTTGAGTATTTTACCTCTCTAATTTTCTTAGACAGCAAGATATTTGGAGCGAATATATAAGATTTCATGCATCCCCTCACAGTATGAGTCTTGGTCCATGAAGTTACCACTTTACGTAAACTATCCTTCCCATTGTTTTGCACTATTCACGTGGCGAATATCTTAATTGGGCCCTTATTCTGTTAAACTTTTACTTGAGTACTCTCTCTTGGAAAGCCATATGTTAACCTAGTTGCTGTCCCTGATGTCTAAAGCATTGTGTTAAGTTTAAACATGTTACAAATTACTTTTACTCCATCTGTATTTAAGTACTTGTGATGTCGAAACATATGACAGGGCAATAATTTTCTTGCTGTGCGCTGTTTTGTATTTGCAGCATCTAAGGTGGATCCTTTTCACGTGGAATATTTTAAAAAGATTGAACCCCAATTTTGAGGGTTTGCCACCGGCCCGTCCCTAGAGCATTGTGGAGGAGGTAAATCACGGGATGTGTCTCAACAGGCCAGGGTACAAGAGCTGTCATACTGGTGCCCATAAAGAGTCCAGTTCCATACCTTGTTAGATGCAGTAATCGAACCCTCACACTGCGGTTGTCAGCTCAACTAAAACTACCTTACTCCCGTCCTTTGCAACACTGAGCTACGCCCCGGGGGGGCTACACTTGGAATATTTTAGCTTCTCTGGCAGGGTGATTGCCTTATCATTAATGCATAAAGTACAAATTGGCATAATCTTTGATCGTGTGTTCTTTCTGCAATTAGCTGGGGAAACAATTTAATTAGGAGATATTCAGGATGCAGATCCTTATTTGTATGGTAGCTGTAAGCAAATATTGGAGATGGATCCTGAGGCAGTTGATCAAGATGTTCTGATTCTGACATTTGTTCATGAAATTGATGAGCTAGGATCAAGAAAGCTTGTGGAGCTCTGCCCTGATGGGAAAAGCATTACTGTAAATAGTAAAAATAGGGAGCTCTATGTTGATTCTCTTATTCAGCATCGCTTCGTCAGGTCTATATCTGAACAGGTGGCCCATTTCGCTAAATTACGTTAACAAATGCATAGTACAAAATTAAACATAATACTAATAGAAAAAAGACATGCAGTTAGACATGCAGGTATTCGCGTCGATGGAAAACTTGTTGAAATCTTCTACAAATATTTGACAAGTTCTTCTAGTCTCTTCGTTTAATAAGAGTGGCTAGCCGCACGATGAGTTCTTCGAGGAGGGCCGCCTTCCGTAGCGCAAAGAAATTCACAAGACAATTGTAATTCTTCTATGAGGATTTCAAGTGCCACAGACGTAATCTTCTTTGGAATTAATTATAAATGCTGAAGTATAAAGTTCTAAAAACATCAAAAATAAAAAAAAATTATGTACTTAGTAGGACTTTTAAAGAGATTTTTTATTTTCATAAATTATAAACTAAATATGTTGTATACTACATATTTTCATTTTAAAGATTTATGAAATTCATACTTATAAATTAAATTGGAATTTAGGTAGTGTTAATTGATAAGTGTAATTTCTACACTTATTTGGGGTCCTAAATGATGATAACTTCTTATTTTTTGGACGGATTAGGACCTAATTTGTTTTATATTGTGTTTAATAGGTAAAACTAGATGATTGTATGAAGAATTGGAAGAAGGAATGGATAATTGAAGAAAAATAATGAAATTCAAACTATGAAGACTAAAGTGTAACATTCCAATAGTTGTGTCGGATTGCAAGACGGTAATTCAAGAATATCTAGGGTCAATTGGAGGTGAAGAAAAGCCAATTAATGAAAAAATTATCGAAAATGATCAAAACATACACTTGAGAAAATTTTAAAGACCAATATACAATTTGGTTCAAAAATGACAATACCATGTGTACACATAGGCCTGTAGGCCTTGTGTACACTCAAACCTTATTTAGGTTGATTGAAGTTATTTGAAGTCTACTGTGCGTACACACCAAATGAACCATGCGTACGCATGGTTTAATTCCATGGAAAAAAAATCGTGTTTCTTTATTTTGTTTTGGAAATTTTTGGTATGCAATTTTTGTCAGTCTATATATACCATAAGCAGTCCAAAACTTGGGAGACCTCCTCAGACCTAAAAAATTTATAGATTCTAATCAATTGTGAAGGCGAAGAACAATGCTAACAACATAGAATCGAGGTAAATTTTATAAGATATTGAGTATTCTTCATTCAGATTCAAGATTCACATCAAGAACCTAGAAAATTCTTAATTCTTCATTATTTCTTCTTTTCGAATGATGGTTTTTCAATTGTTCTCTTGTAATTTAATTTTAAACATGTTATGATAGTTTTTAAATTGTAATGAATGAGTGTTTGAATCCTATTTTTATTTATATGAATTGTAGACTTTAATTTAGGAAGTTATTGTGTTGTTTGATTAAATGTATATATTCATTGCACTATTTGGTTGTTTGGCCATTAATTGAATAGTTGGTGTTTGTTGTAGTGTATAAATAATCATAATGAATTTAGAACGCGGTAAAATCAACATGTGTAGTTAGAATTATGAATAAGTGAATAATTTATGTCACACGTGCAATCTTATTCATAATCTAAACTAAATGTCTGATTTTCATATGAATTCGGATTAGGAATAAGATCATCTCGTGTTAATCATAAGCTGGTGTATTTTGGAGAGAGCATTTAACATAATATCTTTATCGGTTGTCAAAAATGCATGAATTAAATAGATTAATTATCAAGAATTGAAATAGATGGAAATATGGGATACATAAATCAAATACAAGCATTCACTTGGATAGAACATCTTATTTACTTGCTTTCTTTGAGTAGAAATTAGTATAAATAACAAAATTCAATTATCTTTTGATGTTATTATACTTCGAATTTGATAAAACTATTTAATTACAAATTAGATCTTATTCCTTGTGGGAATGATACTCTTAACTCACATATCTTATTACTTGTACAACGATCCCCATATGCTTGCGGGTTTCACACGAACAAATTAATACATTGAAAATTACACTCACCCAATTAACCCATAATATTCCATCCTAAATCAGATTCCAACATGTTTTCCATTTTTCTTTTCGACAAATAGTTTATCAATGATAAATGGAACACGCTTTCTACTATCTTAAAACGTATCCTAAAAATATAAAAAAACTCAAAATTAAAAATCGAAATGTCACATCTATGTCCAACGTAATTTACGCTTCAATAGCAGAATAATTCAAACGTTAATCCCAACTATCAATGTCATTGTCAATCTTTTTATAATTCTATCCAT